CCAAAGTACTGTGAAATGAACCAATTCTGTTTTTAGTCTTTCAATGTCCCAAATGTCAATCACCTCCCACCCCCGGCGGCGGTACAAGCAAGGGGTCCGAATCCGGATATGCAGGAAGCGAAAAGGAGCGGGAAGGGGACGCTTCACCGCCAACCTGGGATGAAGGCGTCTGCCAGGCACGACTGGACGATAAAAGTGGGACGAAAGAAGCAACCATGCCCAACCCTTCGGGCAGGGAGCGATGAGTCAACATCTCGAACTTCCGCAGAACCAACAGGAGCTTCGGGGCTGGAGGGGACGAGGAAGATGATGGAAGTGGCTGGGTAAAGTCAACCGAGCTGAGAGTTTGTTCCAACTTTACTCCCGGGTTGGCTCATTGTCGCTCATCTGGACTTGAACCCTAAGACGAGATCCCAGTTCCCTGTTTCGCGCACACAAGCAAGCAAGCAGACCAGTGCGCAAGGTTGGGGAAACCTGGGTTTTGCTTAGTGATGGACAATAGGCAAAAATTCGGTGACGGAGTCTTGCGACCGACTCTGCAACGGACAGACGGAGAGTCTTGACGATCGTATAAACTGAAGGAGGGTCCGAGGTGCCAGTGAATGATTCGGCCTGTCGCAGCACAGGATCTTGATCGCTTGGATCCGTTTGGGGGCCACCTCGATAACGCATGCGCTGCGGGTTTCTGCGATGCGCCATAAACTTTCCGCTTGCGTGTGGAGGTTAGTTGAGAAGTGACAGAGTGAGGTGGTTGAAGGAGTGCGATAGGCATTGCTGCTGCAGCCTGCGGGACCCTTTCTTCAAGAACATCGTGACAACTGATAGGATGACCTTCTGACTGCGTCTGGCGCCCAGAGCGCAGAGTTTTCATTTCCAAAGAGTCATTGCTCTGGAGACGAAGTTTTTGCTTCTAAAGATTTCCATATACAAAGCGGGATGATAGCCGTACGTGGGATGGTGGCCTGCACGGCCTCTGTTCACCGCCATGGAGGCGTCCCGAATTTGTGGACGGGGAGAGATTCCGGCAGCTCTCTCGAATCCACCAGTCTCAAGTCACTTGTTTGCAACACGGCGGGAACCCTGGGCGTGTGCATGAAAGGGAATCTGGAACCGAATGATCCAAGCTCCGGAGGTTGAAATGCCAGGATACAGCTCTATCAAAGCTTCTAGTATAGGGCAGTACCTTGCGCATCAACTCTGGTGATTTTTCTTCTGGCGCAGAACGAAAGAAACAGCGAGGATGAAAGACAGCCGATGGCCCAGGATTCTGGAATGACGTCGGGAGAATGAAACGAAAGCTGTGGACCGCGGCATCGCATCATGGCAAGCGACGGGGGTCGGATCCGTCGCTTAATGCTCAATCTCCGACTTTGAAGCTGGAAGGGCAAGGGAGAGACTCTGACGGTAGCTCCGGAGTGGATCCCGGGGATGAGAAGCTTAAGCTGCCGGTTGGGGCTCACCGACAAAGAATAAAACTGGTGGCAGAGATGGATGTGTCTATGACTCAAATTGAAGAGATTTCGCGAGAAGGACGACCAGTTGTTCCATACTCTTCGATCATCGAAGAGGACGCGTAGGTTCTTGGTCATTAATTTGCTAGTCCGCGACACTGGCCGCTATGTTGAACTGGGAACCCATTGCTCTCAATGCGAAGTGAGACCGGGGATCCTCACCGGGATGCTAATTCGGAGAGGCAGTCTTGGATCTAAGCCAGAAATCCAGGGAACAGGGGTGCTCTGAAGCGTAAATGCCCCGCTGGGGTCAGCCCTGTCAGGAAACCGTCCCAAGAGTGGCTGTATGAGATATTCCTTCTCGTCGGCAGCCGTAGACCTGGTACAAAATTGAATCAAGTTTCTCGGTTAAGAAAAAGAAGTTCCTGGTATCATTGTATATCGGCTGCGGTCAACCTTTTCCAGGATGTTTGCTGAAAGCCTGGTCAATGGTGGCTGGCTCACATGGCTTCACTTGTAAGCCACAATCGCCAGATGAAGCCCTATCCAAGTGCTTGGGTAAAGGGCAAACGACTTGAAAATGACCACGCTTGCCGTAAGACGACTTCCTTGCCTGCCGAAGCACCCTTTGGGACACCAAGGGGAGGGATACGATGGAAGAGGCTCTTCTGAGTCTTAGGATAAAGGAGCAAGTGATCTCGATCCGATAGGCTGGGTCGGGCAAAAACATACGTTTGGGTACGATTCCGATGTCAGCCGCGCCGGCTTCCAAGAATAAGAACTTGGCAGGAGTGAAGGGCGAGGCGGTGGGCATTCTGGGAAATGAAGGGCTGTGGTCGTGGCCGGGGAACAAGATGACGACTAAGTGAGACTCTTGTTCATGCAAGGCGCATGAGAAGCACGATGAGGCAACGCGATCAATGTTGAAGAGACAGGGGAGCTTTCCGTGTGGACGATCCGAGTCGAAAGTGACAGGCACGATGCGGGCGTCGGGCGTATTGGGATGAGATACCGTCGAAGAGAGGTGTGTCGCACACCGTACGCAGCACATCCAATGGCGGGTTTGGCGGTCTGAAGCTGTAAGTCGTATACCTGGAATCGTTCAGACGATGAAGGGGTCGTCGGCCGAAGTTGGCCAGGTCTAGGCCATAGGTTGGGCTCCGTCGTCAGGAACGCGTGAGAGGTAACGATGGGAGACGGCGTATGAGAAGTCGGCGCTCGGCTCCAGCTCCCATGGTCGCTGACTTCGGCGTGGACTTGGGTTGACTAGAGTCGAAGTACCTCAGGCACAGCGGAGGCATGGTCAGGTATCCGCGGCTGACGTGTGGGTGATGTTCTCATCGAGTGGTTTCTCTCCCAGTAACCACTGACAGAGAGCCGGGCTGGCCTGACAATAGGGGACCGATCTGGCCAAGGGCCGTTCAAGTTTTGGTTGGTGAGGTAGTCGTACGCAGTAGAGTGGACTTGGGATTCACAGCAATCGAGAGTGAACAGTGGATGTCGCAAGTTTCGTTCGCGTCTTGGTAGCAGAATCCGCTCGCCTCACTTGGACGATTGGTTCATGACGGGGACGGCGTCGGTCCATTAACGGGTCGTTTAAGTGTATGCTCCACTTTTCAAACGGCGCCATCGCGTTTCCCATTGTCGCCAGGTGCCCACCCGACCTCTTCCCACCTTCCATTCTTTCCAGGCGTGCACAGGCGTGCACAGGCATGGCAGGTTCCTTCCTTCCGGCTTTCGCGGTGGCCGAGTTTTTCCAGAAGGTGAGGAGACGACGCCGACGACAACGACGGCGGGGGATCCACTTGCCGGGTTGGGATGGGAAACGCAGCTACGGAGGAATTTCTTAGCTCAGCCGACCTTGGTAAGTATCCAGGTATCCGCACATTAGGTAAGGCCGGTAAAGTAGGAAGAGGAAAGAGAGCAAGCACACCTCCATTCGCTACACCATACGGATTCAATGCGAGGATGTGGGAGTGCAGCATCTCGCCTTTGCAGATTCACCAGATTGTGGTCCCCCGGGGTCCATCAGTGGAGTCGCGCATGATTCACGTCGCCGATGCATCTCCGTGACGTCGCGACTCCTTGAGCACCTCGCTGGTCTTGATCCGGTCGTCTGGCGCGCTTCAGGACGCGAAACGCGTGTGATGAATCACAGGCGGGGGATTGAGGAGCAAACACATACTGCGTACACACAATGGCCTCGTCTACTCCAGACCACTTCCTCCTCTGGGACACCTCACCAAGTGACGAGAGATGAAGACGTACCTTATTGACGGATGTTCCTCCAATATCGTAGAGCGGGCCTCGAGGTACCTTCCTCACCTTGCCTACCTACCTCCTCGTTCCATTCATACCTGCTCTGGGCATGAGGCCCGAAACAAGCACCGTGGCACACCGACAAAGCAGAATGAGGGTCTTCAAGTTGGTGATGGGCCGCTGTGTATGCGGCCATGAAGCACAGTGGAGCTGGTGGCTCACGCGTCTCTTCAGGCTGAGTGGCTGGCCGGTGTTGGACGTTGTTGCTTGGGCATCACCGGCTGGCGTTGGAGAGGTTTCCCGGATGTTGTTTTCCCAGCCACCGACTTTTTGATCCCCTGCTCCTTTGTCCTGGTTGTATCAAACTTGCCCCTCTATCCGTATGGCCTTTCTGCGCCTGTGTGCCTCCCGATGTCAGAATTGACTTTCGTCCGTCGGTCGATGCGCCCGAAATATAGGCGATGGGTGGCTTTCCGTATTCCAGGGATGTGGCTGAGAATTTCGTCTGAGGGTACGAGCATCATCCCGACTTCACAACGGACGGGGTTGGCCAATTGCGCATTGTGTCTCGCGGGCCCGGGAGAACAAACGGGGCATTCTAGTTAAGACAAGGAAGTTGGTTAGGACCAAGAGAGAAAAACCTACGGCTACGGCATTTCGACCAAGGATGGCAGAGTGATCGATCGGATCGGGAGGGGGCTATTGTCTTCCTGCTGGATCTCTCGTGTCATTTTTTGGTGGTTGAGGCTTGAACAGGTGAGTCGCGACCCGGACCAGATGATCTGGAGAATATTGGACGATACGACTCTGAATGGGGACTCGTCATGCTCTATCTCTGAGCCCAAAGGTAGGTATTGATACCGTCGCCAATATTAGATTAGGTCAGATTCCCTGGCTCAGTGTGGCTCCTTTCGATTAGGTTATGCTTCGCCTTGTCATGGTTTGCCTCGTTATCTGATTTGGCTGCAATTACACTGGCGTACCTGCACTACTGGGGAGAGCTGAACATGACAGTCGATAGCATCATCCTCATGGGATCTGATACGGAACGGGAGGAAGGGTTTCCATTTCCATCCACGCTTCACAGTGAATCCCCCAGTGTACCGCCTTTGCCTCGTAGCCAGTGTCCAGACCCGTGTGATCACCCCACTGAGAGCCGAGCAATAGGAGCCCGGAGACGAGAAACAGTGGCTTGCTAGTGGATGCAGGAGGGCTGCAACGGGCTTCATAGGTCACGTCTCGGGGGGTAAGTTTGGGGGGTTATTCTTGGGCCCTTTGGGTATCAATAACATGAGAGTAAGTGAGCCTATCGCGCGAGAGACAGCGGCCGTCGATGCCCAACCTGTTGGAGCTGCCCTCTCCGCGAGTCCGCTCTCGTCCAGTCTGAACCAGTGGATGCGGGAGGCAAGGAGCGAGAACCGCCAGGGCCGTCATGTTGTTCGCAAGGGTCCTTTGGGGTGTACCATGTGCTCACCACTGAAAGGACTCATCTCACCTCTTGACTTTGTATCTTTCCTTCCGTTTTTGGTCATCACCATGGCTTCGCCCATCAAGGTACGAAGGTACGTCATCCTTGGCCGTTTTGCCATTTGTTAGAGCGCTAAATGAGGGTAGGAATTGTGGTGCCTGAGGAGATAGCAAGATGTGGAAGGAGTCCACTCACCTCCCCACGTTGACCGTTTACCCTCAACGACATCTCGGGCATTACGGTATCCTCCCGTCTCCCTTGTCCAACGGTCGATTCATTCCGTATCCTTCCGTTCAGGCTTCAGCCCTCCGTCCACTGCCGTCCTACGCCACCTTCTCTGCTTCTCTCGGTGCTTCCTTAGCCACTGAACAATGATTTGCCGAACGGACAATGGCCCAAGCTGCAAGCCCAACCCCCACCGTCTGCGAGCCGTGACCGCCATTCCATTTTCGCTCATCAAGTTTCCCTTCCCTCAGGTCCCTCCAATCCGTCTGCTTCTTTTTTAGGGGAAAAAAAAAACTTCTTTTTGTTTTCTGCCTTCTATTGGGCGGTTCCGGCTTGCGGCCGAGCCGTAAACCCCTCCACCGGGCCTTTCATTGTCGTCTCCCTCTCCCTTGACAAGACCTGCCCGCCGCTCGCCTGTCTTCCGGCAAGATCCCCGTCCACCCAGACCCGGCGCATCGAGGTCACGACCCAAAAGGCCCAGAACTCTGAATCTCTTGTCATCCTGCTCACCTCTGACCTCATTCGCCGGTCGGACGCCGTCGTTCCCCCCAGCGGTCCTACACTGACAGACGCATACCCGGCCACACTTCCCAACTTGCCCCCCCCCCCCCCCAAAATGGCCCCAGTCAGTGAGCCACTGGGCCGAGAGAGCGCACAGAGAATCCAGTCGGAGCACATCGGCTGGACGTGGGGTTGGGTTTCGCTTCTGAGCAATCGTCCACCTTTGAACTTCCATTCCGTGACCCTCTCTTCTCTGTACTGGCTAGTATCTTGCCCTTTTCTGCCCGCCCTGAGCGCGCGCGCCGCGTTCCTATCAATCCCCAGACTCTTTGCAATTCGCAAGCCCCAGGTCTTCTTCTAAACCAGTCCCTCTCGGCCTCCAGGTACATTGCCCCTAGTTTAGTACACCGAACAATACCTTAGCCCGTCTAGCCTGTTGCCTTCTCTTGAGTCTTGGGCACCGAGAGAAGGCAGTAGACACTGGCAAGCAAGTCTATCAAGTTTGATAGAGTCCGTGAGGTGAGAAGGAGAGTTCGAGGCGGTCTAAAGCCAAACGGAACCCCTGCTCAATGCTCCCTCACTCTGTCCGCGCCCCACGTCTCGTCCGTGTCTTGTTCCAAGGAAGCATTCTACGGCGCCGTCTGTCCGTCGCAATAGTAAGTGGCGCCCGTCCGTTTGCCGTTCTCAGGGCTCTCTCGGTTTCGCCAGATTTGGATCAAATCATCGCCACAAGACATTATGAAAAGACACTGGCTACGGATGATCTTCCGAATAGTATTAACAAGCCAATGCGAGAAGGTTTACTATTACCGCACACAGAATTACAAGACGAATATGGGCTAGCAGGTTTTCACCGTGAATCCCCGAAAGTATCTTTACCTAAAGGGAACAGGGACAAGAGGACTTATCTCGCCTTGGCATCATGATCTCGCTCTCTCTCCCTCTTCCCCTCGGCTCACTCTTCAGTCTTGCTCGTTCTATAATCGCCGAAGAGTATGGCCGCTCCCACTCGCCAGAAAACTTGCCTGGTTCTCTCTTGCTGACTGGGCCCGTTGACCACACACCCACCCCGTCCCTATCCTCGGCCACCCTCCACAAACAAGTGACCACACACCCACCAATGCGCATCGCATCCCACCCGCAACGGGCTGCTCTTTCCTACCGTAGTCCAAGGTATCCGTAGAATCTAGGTAGGTACGAGTGCTTCCTTCCTTCCTCTGCCTCTCCAGCTCCACTCTGCTGTCTCCGTCTCGTTCCCCTCCCGTCCTTGCTGTTCTCGCGCCGTCCGTACCGTCCGTACCTTACCGTACCGTACCGTGGTGACCCTCTTCCTCCGTAAGCTCCCATAGGTAGCCAGTCTGAGGTGAAATCCCGATTCCCTCAGTCTCTTGTTCTTTCCCCACTGCCCTCCCAACCCTGGACTGGGATCTCGACCCGGGCCAGCCTGACCTTCCACACTACCCGCGACCTTACATTGCCTTACTACGACTCTCCTCCTTCCCCCCCGTCCCATGTCCACCGTATCCTTCTCGAAGCCAAGCAAAGTACCTCACCCCCGGCCACCGTTTCTAACCAGGTACCTCATCCCGGGAATCGCGCAGAAGTGCCGCCTTTGCTGTTGAAAATACAAAACCTTCCCTCTTCCTCCTCCAGCTCTACCTTGCCCGCCCACCAAGAAAACGAGATCACACACCACACACACACACACACACACACACACACACACACACCATTACTGCGTACTCACACGCACACATTCATACAGACACTATCCGCACTCGCTCGCCCATCCAGCGTCAACCGTACATACCTACATACATATACATACTTTCGGCGCCCCATCCTTCAGACGGTTTCCCTATCGTTGCAACACACATTTGTTTATTATTGTCCCATCATCCCTCTTCCCCACGTCGTCTCACTCTCGACGCAGCTCATTTACGCCGCTTCATCGACTCGACTCACACACACATACTCAAGGCTTTTCCCCCGCCCTGTGTATCTGACCAGACCAGCTACTTTTTCACCTCGCTACAAGATCTGGAGTGCATCGCAGCGCCGTAACACTCGAACAAAAAGAAATAACCGATTCCCCGAAAGCCTGTGAGTGTGTTTCTCCCCTTCAGAGCCGTTGTTCCACCTCCTCGTCCTGCACGCACTGCCCTTTAAAACTTTCCGACCACCCTCCACCCGCACATCCTCTCATCCCATCCCCACCAACCTCTCTTATCACTCATCCCGCTCGACCACCTCCGCCCTCTGCTTTTTCCCTTACTTTCTTGCCCTCAACTCAACCCGCGTACGTTTTGCTTGGCTCTCCGAACGAGTCTCGCACAAAAAGCTCGCTTCTCGCCTCTGACTGCAAGTTTCCGCTGCGCAATACATGCATCTTTGCCGCTCAATACACAGCAGCCCAAGCGCATACTCCTCCATACCCTCGTCTGCAATTCTCAGAGTGCGCAGCACCCGTCTCCACATCTCACTCACACCCAAAAATAAACCCTGGGCCACCAACCGTCCTCACCGCTGCGCTGCACTCGACTAACACGCCCTCGCAAGATTAGAAAAATTGGCACCATTGCCATCACAGCACAACATCGCAGTCCACACTCGACTGCTGATTTCACATAACCAGAAATGGTCTCAACGTACCAGATGCCGTCCTTCTACAGACCGACACCTTTGACTGTAGACACAACACAAGCGCAAAAGTACTACGAAGAGGAGGACCACAGCATCCTCGACGAAACTATCTTGGATCACAGCGCACTCGACTCGGGCCTGGAAATGTCGCCTCCCATGGTTGATAGCAGAAGAGATTCCTTCGCCGTTGGCGGCTCTCTCTTCTCACCAAAGACGGAGGACTGGCAGTCAGTCGATATGCAATCCGTGCCATCCAACAACCCTTTCATCGAGCAGCAACACAACAACAACCCCTTCATGCGCCTGGATCATGCTCAGCCTTCCCCTTTCGCCCCTCAAGGCAACGGATGGTCTCTGAGCAATACTTCTGGCTCTTGCACTCCCCTCCAGCAATTCGATGGCATGCCGGCTGAATACGACAATGGCGCTCCCATGTTCCAAAGGCCCGTCCCGGGCCAGACGCCCTTCACCAACCCCACCGGTCAAATCAATATGTTCGCACCCATCGGATCAGGCAACCAGTCCATACCAACTTCACCGCAGAAGGGATGGATCGGCCAGGCGGAATCTATGGCCAAGAAGATGCGCCCTGGTAGCCCTACCATCCGCTCACACAACGATATGCGAAGGGGTGACGGCATCCGCAAGAAGAACGCTCGCTTCGATATCCCGGCCGAGCGCAATCTCAGCAACATCGATCACCTCATCGCTCAGTCCACCGATGAGCAAGAGATCAAGGAGCTCAAGCAGCAAAAGCGACTGCTGAGGAATCGCCAGGCAGCGTACGTGCACACTCACTTCCTTTCAATTCCACTTACTAACATTGCAACAGCCTTGACTCTCGCCAGAGAAAGAAGCAACACACCGAGCGGCTTGAAGATGAGAAGAAGCAATTCACCGCTGTGCTCACCGATCTAGAGGAAGAGATGGCCGACATGAGGAAACAGATGGAGCAGCTTTTGAGAGAGAAGCAGTTCAACCAGGACTACATCGAGTCACTCACCATGGAGAAGGAGGAGATGATCCGCTCCCACACGATCGAAACCGGCGAACTCCGGAAGAAGGTCAGCGTCCTCACCGACCACGTCCAGCGTCTCGAGAGCGCCGCCATGACTGCTCCTGCCAACAACAACTACGTATCTGGCTACGACGACATGGACGGCATGACCATGCCGGGCAGCTGGGACAACGTCAACTTCCTCGGCGAGTACCCCATGGAGCAGGAAGTCAAGCAGGAACTCCAGGTGGTTCCGAACAAGAAGGCTGATGTTTCCTTCCCCGTCGATTCCGAGAAGTCTTCCTCCCAGGGTGGTATTCTCTTCATGCTCTTCCTCGTCGGTGCCTTTGTTCTGTCCAGCCGCTCTACCCCTGCCATTCCCCGGGTCTCCGAGGACGTCCGCGCTGAAGCTGCCACCCTCCTCGAGAACGTATTCAAGGACGCCGGCGTAAACGGTGCATCCAACACCCTGAACGCTCTCGCTCCTCAGCCTTCCGGCGGCTCGTGGGTCGACAACTCGGCCATGCCTATGAGTGACACCTCAATGGGCGGTGTCGCGCCTTCGATGCTCGGCCAGCTTGGCGACTCTCTCACCCAGCCTACCGATGAACAAGCAAATGAGCAACTCTTTGGACTCTCGGCTGCTCAGTACAACGGCGTCAGCTCGCAGGATTTCCTCAACAACGCCCCCGAGCGCACCACCAGCCAAGGACGCAAGAACCTTGCCGATGCCCTCTCAGCGATGCGGACCAACAAGCAATCCGCAGCCGACGTCTACACTAGATCACTACTTTGGGATCAGATCCCTAGCGAAGTTGTCAGAAACTTTGCCAAAATGGTGTCCGAAAGCAACAGCGCGAAAGCGGGCGCTAACGAATAACGAAGACCAAAAAAATTACGATCCCATGATCACATCAACGAATCTCAACTCTTAGCTCAAAATATCATTCTACCAAACATCCTTTTTCCTTTCAGCCGAAGCTCATCATACACTTCTACCGCTCCCGCGGACAAAACCCCAGACATTGTTGCTCACGCACCAAACAATCCTCTTTTCACCGCCAAATGATCGAAGCTCTTCGGACATACTTACTTTCCAACCGCTTTATTTTTGTGATTTTCATTTTGGGACGCCATTTCCCTCCGGTATCTAGCAAGCGAGCGAGCATTCTGGATTTAGTCTGATATCTCTGTATTTCACATATCTAGTTGGGTATCTATTGCTCTTTTCAGGCAAGGAGGGACGGGGGAGAAGAGCATGGGAACACGGGACGGCCAAGCTTTTCCAACGTTTGTACAATGGGGGCAACGGGGTTGGCTTGGAAATGGAGGGGTGGTCACACGGAATCTTGGGTTACCGGAGGAGAGCAGGTCTCACACAACGAGGGACGTCATCTCACAGGAGACGGAGGAAAGGAGAGGGAGGTGGTGTTCGGTTGGGAATCATGTTGCTTTTGCTCTTTTGTCTGATTTTCCTTTTGTTTTATTTCCTTTTATTTCCTTTTTTTTGGCCTTGACTGGAAAGATGGACAGCACCGCACGAAGTTGCAGATTGTTGACGAGAAACGAGAAAGCGTCTCGCGACGAAACGTGGAAACGGAAATGAGTCGAAACGAATCTCATGATCAATGACAATCAAACGAAACGAAATTTTTACCACGTCACTACTTCTACGAAAGCCTTTTTTTCTTTTGATATTTTCTGCACATCTCATTGCGACA